TTTGGTTAAGGAGGGGTGTGGTTATGGAGGGGTGTGGTTATGGAGGGGTGTTGTTATGGAGGGGTGTGGTTATGGAGGGGTATTGTTATGGAGGGGTTTGGTTATGGAGGGGTATGGTTATCGAGGGGTGTGGTTATGGAGGGGTGTGGTTATGAAGACGTGTGGTTATGGAGGGGCATGGTTTTGGAGGGGTATTGTTATCGAGGGGTGTGGTTATGGAGGGGTGTGGTGATGGAGGGGTATTGTTATGGAGGGATATCGTTATGGAGGGGTATGGTTTTGGAGGGGTATTGTTATAGAGGGGTATGGTTAGGGAGGGGTATGGTTTTGGAGGGGTATTGTTATGGAGGGGTGTAGTGATGGAGGGGTATGGTTATGGAGGGGTGTGGTTATGGAGGGTTGTGGTTATGGAGGGGTGTAGTGATGAAGGGGTATGGTTAAGGAGGGATGTGGTTATGGAGGGGTGTGGTTATGGAGGGGTGTAGTGATGTAGGGGTATGGTTATGGAGGGGTGTGGTTATGGAGGGGTGTGGTTATGGAGGGGTACAGTTATGGAGGGGTGTGGTTATGGAGGGGTGTAGTGATGGAGGGGTATGGTTATGGAGGGGTGTAGTGATGTAGGGGTATTGTTATGGAGGGTCGTGGTTATGGAGGGGTATGGTTATGGAGGGGTATAATTATGGAGGGGTGCTGTTATGGACGGGCGTGGTTATGGAAGGGTGTGGTTATGGAGGGGTATGGTTATGGAGGGGTTTGGTTATGGAGGGGTGTGGTTATGGAGGGGTGTGGTTATGGAGGGGTGTTGTTATGGAGGGGTGTGGTTATGGAGGGGTATTGTTATGGAGGGGTTTGGTTATGGAGGGGTGTTGTTATGGAGGGGTGTGGTTATGGAGGGGTATTGTTATGGAGGGGTTTGGTTATGGAGGGGTATGGTTATGGAGGGGTGTGGTTATGGAGGGGTGTGATTATGAAGACGTGTGGTTATGGAGGGGCATGGTTTTGGAGGGGTATTGTTATCGAGGGGTGTGGTTATGGAGGGGTGTGGTGATGGAGGGGTATTGTTATGGAGGGATATCGTTATGGAGGGGTATGGTTTTGGAGGGGTATTGTTATAGAGGGGTATGGTTAGGGAGTGATTATTGAGGGATGTGGTTATGAAGGGTTATTGTTATGGAGGGTTATGGTTATGGAGGGTTATTGTTATGGAGGGTTATTGTTATGGAGGGGTATGGTTATGGAGGCTTATGGTTATGGAGGGGTAAGGTTATATAGGGGTATTGTTATGGAGGAGTATGGTTATGGAGGGATATTGTTATGGAGGATTATGGTTATGGAGGGGTATTGTTATGGAGGGGTGTGGTTATGCAGGGGTATTGTTATGGAGGGGTGTGATTATTGAGGGATGTGGTTATGGAGGGGTATGGTTATTGAGTGGTATGGTTGTTGAGGGGTGTGGTTATGGAGGGGTGTGGTTATGGAGGGTTATGGTTATGGAGGGGTATTGTTATGGAGGGGTATGGTTATGGAGGGATGTGGTTATGGAGGGGTGTGGTTATGTAAGTGTGTGGTTACGGAGGGGTATTTTTTTGAGGGTTATGGTAAGGGAGGGGTGTGGTTATGGAGGGGTGTTGTTATGTAGGGTTATGGTTATGGAGGGGTATTGTTATTCAGGGGTACAGTTATGGAGGGTCGTGGTTATGGAGGGGTATGGTTATGGAGGGGTATGGTTATGGAGGGTTTGGTTATGGAGGGGTGTTGTAATGGAGGGGTGTGGTTATGGAGGGGTGTGGTTATTGAGGGGTACAGTTATGGAGGGGTACAGTTATGGAGGGTTTGGTTATGAAGGGGTGTGGTTATGGAGGGGTATGGTTATGGAGGGTGTGGTTATGGAGGGTGTGGTTATGGAGGGGTACAGTTATGGAGGGTCCTGGCTATGGAAGGGTACAGTCATGGAGGGGTGTGGTTATGGAGGGGTACAGTTATGGAGGGGTACAGTTATGGAAGGGTACAGTTATGGAGGGTGTGGTTATGGAGGGGTACAGTTATGGAGGGTGTGGTTATGGAGGGGTACAGTTATGGAGGGTGTGGTTATGGAGGGTGTGGTTATTGAGGGGTACAGTTATGGAGGGTGTGGTTATGGAGGGGTGTGGTTATGGAGGGGTACAGTTATGGAGGGGTGTGGTTATGGAGGGGTGTAGTGATGGAGGGGTATGGTTATGGAGGGGTGTAGTGATGTAGGGGTATTGTTATGGAGGGGTGTGGTTATGGAGGGGTATGGTTATGGAGGCGTATTGTTATGGAGGGGTGTGGTTATGGACGGGCGTGGTTATGGAGGGGTGTGGTTATGGAGGGGTATGGTTATGGAGGGGTTTGGTTATGGAGGGGTGTGGTTATGGAGGGGTGTGGTTATGGAGGGGTGCTGTTATGGAGGGGTGTGGTTATGGAGGGGTATTGTTATGGAGGGGTTTGGTTATGGAGGGGTATGGTTATGGAGGGGTGTGGTTATGGAGGGGTGTGGTTATGAAGACGTGTGGTTATGGAGGGGCATGGTTTTGGAGGGGTATTGTTATCGAGGGGTGTGGTTATGGAGGGGTGTGGTTATGGAGGGGTATTATTATGGAGGGATATCGTTATGGAGGGGTATGGTTTTGGAGGGGTATTGTTATAGAGGGGTATGGTTAGGGAGGGGTATGGTTTTGGAGGGGTATTGTTATGGAGGGATGTAGTGATGGAGGGGTATGGTTATGGAGGGGTGTGGTTATGGAGGGTTGTGGTTATGGAGGGGTGTAGTGATGAAGGGGTATGGTTAAGGAGGGGTGTGGTTATAGAGAGGTGTGGTTATGGAGGGGTGTGGTTATGGAGGGATGTGGTTATGAAGGGTTATTGTTATGGAGGGTTATGGTTATGGAGGGTTATTGTTATGGAGGGTTATTGTTATGGAGGGGTATGGTTATGGAGGCTTATGGTTATGGAGGGGTAAGGTTATATAGGGGTATTGTTATGGAGGAGTATGGTTATGGAGGGATATTGTTATGGAGGATTATGGTTATGGAGGGGTATTGTTATGGAGGGGTGTGGTTATGCAGGGGTATTGTTATGGAGGGGTGTGATTATTGAGGGATGTGGTTATGGAGGGGTATGGTTATTGAGTGGTATGGTTGTTGAGGGGTGTGGTTATGGAGGGGTGTGGTTATGGAGGGTTATGGTTATTGAGGGGTATTGTTATGGAGGGGTATGGTTATGGAGGGATGTGGTTATGGAGGGGTGTGGTTATGTAAGTGTGTGGTTACGGAGGGGTATTTTTATGGAGGGTTATGGTAAGGGAGGGGTGTGGTTATGGAGGGGTGTTGTTATGTAGGGTTATGGTTATGGAGGGGTATTGTTATTCAGGGGTACAGTTATGGAGGGTCGTGGTTATGGAGGGGTATGGTTATGGAGGGGTATGGTTATGGAGGGGTGTGGTTATGGAGGGGTTTGGTTATGGAGGGTTTGGTTATGGAGGGGTGTTGTAATGGAGGGGTGTGGTTATGGAGGGGTGTGGTTATTGAGGGGTACAGTTATGGAGGGGTACAGTTATGGAGGGTTTGGTTATGGAGGGGTGTGGTTATGGAGGGGTGTGGTTATGGAGGGTGTGGTTATGGAGGGTGTGGTTATGGAGGGGTACAGTTATGGAGGGTCCTGGCTATGGAAGGGTACAGTCATGGAGGGGTGTGGTTATGGAGGGGTACAGTTATGGAGGGGTACAGTTATGGAAGGGTACAGTTATGGAGGGTGTTGTTATGGAGGGGTACAGTTATGGAGGGTGTGGTTATGGAGGGGTACAGTTATGGAGGGTGTGGTTATGGAGGGTGTGGTTATGGAGGGGTACAGTTATGGAGGGTGTGGTTATGGAGGGGTACAGTCATGGAGGGGTGTGGTTATGGAGGGGTACAGTTATGGAGGGGTACAGTTATGGAAGGGTACAGTTATGGAGGGTGTGGTTATGGAGGGGTACAGTTATGGAGGGTGTGGTTATGGAGGGTGTGGTTATGGAGGGGTACAGTTATGGAGGGTGTGGTTATGGAGGGGTACAGTTATGGAGGGTGTGGTTATTGAGGGGTACAGTTATGGAGGGGTACAGTGATGGAGGGGTGTGGTTATGGAGGGGTACAGTGATGGAGGGGGGTGGTTATGGAGGGGTACAGTTATGGAGGGTGTGGTTATGGAGGGGTGTGGTTATGGAGGGTGTGGTTATGGAGGGGTACAGTTATGGAGGGGTGTGGTTATGGAGGGGTACAGTGATGGAGGGGGGTGGTTATGGAGGGGTACAGTTATGGAGGGTGTGGTTATGGAGGGGTACAGTTATGGAGGTTTACAGTTATGGAAGGGTACAGTGATGGAGGGGGGTGGTTATGGAGGGGTACAGTGATGGAGGGGTACAGTTATGGAGGGGTATAGTTATGGAGAAGATATGGAGAGGTAGTACTGGTAGTGTTAGTAGTAGTAGTAGTAGTAGTAGTAGTAGCAGCCGTAGTAGTAGCCGTAGTAGTAGTCGTAATAGTAGTAGTAATAGTAGTCGTAGTCGTAGCCGTAGTAGTATTGACACAATCACGAGCTTCTGTGTGTCTGTCTCACTTGTGTATTTACTTATTAGCCTAACATTAACAAACAATCTTGTTTGAAATCAATTGAATTATTTCATCAAAGAGCAATTTTTCAAAATATAAAAAATCTTAACCAGTTGATGAGTTTGAGATATGCGTGTATCCGTTTAACACAACACACGATTACTAAAGCACTCTTTGATGATGCGGCTCTGAAGTGAGTGCATTTTCTTGTCAGATGAGAAATGTTTACAGAGTTAATAAATCAATGATTTTCTAATCAAAACAAATGCACAAGAGAACCAGCAATAGATTTATTCCCCAGTGTTCACGATCCTGTCATAATTTATCTCGTTCAAACGTAACCCGGATTCTTTATCAGGTCGGGTGACAACTGCGAGTTACCGCCCTTGATACGAAGAGCATTATAGAGATATATCGATCCAAGGATTTACCTGGCTAGGCCGAGCGTAACTTTACCTGTTCACGGACTGGCGTTGGTATTGATGTCCTAACCAACTACGGCGATACCAGCAGCGGCAGGTGACGCTCGCAACGCCCCCTCCCCACGGGACCATGTCTAACAAGCAACGCCAGGACCCCTCCCCGTCCCTCCTGGGGGTGGGGAACCTGTCCTCCAAGGGCCCCGAGGATACTTGGGTTCAGATTCAGCACAAGACTTTCTCCAACTGGGTGAACGAACAATTGACCAGCACTGGCCGAACAGTGGACAATTTGGCCACCGATCTTTGTGATGGTGTTAAACTCGTGGCTTTAATCGAAACGTTGCAGTTTCGAAAGATTGGACGTGTTTATACCAAACCCAGAAGTAAAATCCAGATGTTACAGAATGTTCAACTAGCGTTTGAAGCCATTGCAGAGGATCAAATCCGCCTCGTAAATATAGGTGAGTGGGTCGTATATCAAATTCACATGCATACACATCGCCATATAAACACGCCCGCCTTATTGGATTAAGATAGCAGCTCATGCGAGACAAAGTCGTTTCACAAACATTATATTGTATTATGATATGCTTGATTGTCAGTTGCATGTGGGCGAGACGGTGTGTATTTCAGCGTAATAATCACGCGTACCCCGCACAACAGGTGTGACTGACTTGGTATCTACAGAAGTCACTTTACTACATGATTGACACTGGGTCACATTCCACTGTTGCTGGCAATTACATGTTGTCAGAGATAGTGACAGACCCGGGACTGTGTGGTTTCTGTCTATACAGTGTACATGCTCATTCATTCGGAACAATATCCAAGTAAAGTGAATTTCTTACACGTTTACTGAATAGGCCTATCCTCGGTGACCCCCTCCTTACAACACATTTCCCCCTCTTCGCTTTCCTTAGTGTAATTTACATTTCCTTCAAAATATATTTTTCTCTACATACTGCTTTAAGTGTCTTCTCTGCATTCCTTTTCCCGTCTTCCTTCTTCCGTCTCGTCTCCTGTCTTCCCTACAGATTGGTGGTTTTCTCTCTCAATCCGTCCTCTGTTCGCCCCCCTTTCGCATCATTGACAAGACGCACTATATTTGTGTGAATGTGTTATACGGGTAGACAGGGGATTCATCTTCCCCATTTCAACTTCTTTCACCTTGCATCTACGTTTAACTATGTCACAATATCTGATTCCTTCTCATCACACACGCGCGCACACACACACACACACACACACACACGCACGCACTCTAGCTCTCTCTTGCTGTGTCTCTCACTCTGCCTCTCTGTGTGTGTCTCTCACTCTGCCTGTTTGTCTCTCAGTCACTCACGCACACTCTCACTCTTTTCTCTCTCTCTCACTCTCTCGCTCACACACACAGTCTCTCTCTCTCCCTCTCTCTCTCTCTCACACACACACAGTCTCTCTCTCTCCCTCTCTCTCACACACACACACAGTCTCTCTCTCTTTCCCTCTCTCTCTCCCTCTCTCTCTCTCTCCCCCTCTCTCTCTCTCTCACACACACACACAGTCTCTCTCTCTCTCCCTCTCTCTCTCTCTCTCTCTCTCTCTCTCTCTCACACACACAGTCTCTCTCCGTCAACACCGTGCGTCTCATTGTGTCGGTATGTTCTGACACCAGCAGTGCACTTAATAGATCAGGGCGTAACAAAACTCTTTTGTAAATGAACTATTTTATTGCGAGAAATAAACCACGACACACACAACACAACATGTATAGACCTCCGATTTAAACAGCTTTTTACAATGCAACACACACTCTTAATTTACATCACAAAGATGTGTTTTATTGTAATATATTCTACTGCGGTAATATGAGGCCTCGCGAGTAGGAAACGAGAGACGCTCGCTGCTTTTGTCACGATTTATTTATGGAGAGAGTGAATAAAGTTGAGTCCACAGACATACGGAATCTCATAAATCAGCGGCGTGACAGACAGACATGTATATATAGAGACTGAAGATAAAACGAGGTCCAAGGGAGATACAAGATCACTTCGTTATAACCGAACCTCGACATTCACAAACAACGCCGACTGTCGACTGGTCACTGTACTTCCGGTGCTGTATAACGGGGGTTGTGTGTAACCGGCAAGCTCACTGTAGCGCTGTTGTGTAGTGGTGACGTTGCATTACCGCGATAGTCCAGCCATTCATAACTATTCATAATCACAAGTCCCACACACTTATAAGTCAAAACCGGCTATGTCGAGGTCGGATATAACGGCAACGTCTGCATATATATTAATCCAAGAATTTGGATATGTTTGTTTGCTGTTAAACGCCGCAGAGAACAATGTTCCATCTATATGATGGCGGTCTGTCAACATTCCAGTCTGGACCAGACAATCCACTGATTGACATCATGAACATCGATCCACACAATTGTGATACGATGTCATGCAATCAAGCCGGCCACTGAGCCTCCCCACCCGATCCATTTAGTCGCCTCCTATCACAAGCATGTGTGGCTGGCGATAATTTTTTACCGTGACTCCCCATTAGTTTAATGAACCAGTGGATACAACTTAGTGCGTTTGAAGATCCTTTGGGGTCGTTGTATCAGGAGCAGTGTAAGGCATTCAAGACGTGACTGGCGAGACAGTGAAGACGTGACAAGTGAGTCAGTCAAGATATGACAGGTAAGACCATCAAGACGTGACAAGTAAGACAATCAAGACGTGACAAGAAAGACAATCAAGACGTGACAAGTAAGGCTATCAAGACTTGGCAGGTGACACAATCAAGGCGTGACGGGTGAGTCAAGACGTGACAGGTGAGACAATCAAGACGTGACGGGTGAGTCAAGACGTGACAGGCGAGACAATCAAGACGTGACAAGTGAAACAATCAAGGTGTGGCAAGAAAGTCAGTCAAGATGAGACCGGTGAGTCAAGACGTGACAGGTGAGACAATCAAGACGTGACAGGTGAGACAATCAAGACGTGACAGGTGAGACAATCAAGACGTAACAGGTGAGACAATGACGACGTGACAGGTGAGACAATCAAGGCGTGACAGGTGAGATAATCAAGAAGTGAGAGGTGAGGCAATCAAGACGTGACAAGTGAGACAATCAAGGTGTGGCAAGAAAGTCAGTCAAGATGAGACCGGTGAGTCAATCAAGACGTGACGGGTGAGTCAAGACGTGACAGGTGTGACAATCAAGACGTGACGGGTGAGTCAAGACGTGACAGGCGAGACCATCAAGACGTGACAAGTGAGACAATCAAGACGTGACAGGTGAGACAATCAAGACGTGAAGGGTGAGTCAAGACGTGACAGCTGAGACAATCAAGACGTGACAGGTGAGACAATCAAGACGTGAAGGGTGAGTCAAGACGTGACAGGTGAGACAATGACGTCGTGACGGGTGAGTCAAGATGCGACAGGTGAGACAATCAAGACGTGACAAGTGAGACAATCAAGAGGTGACGGGTGAGTCAAGACGTGACAGCTGAGACAATCAAGACGTGACAGGTGAGACAATCAAGACGTGAAGGGTGAGTCAAGACGTGACAGGTGAGACAATGACGACGTGACGGGTGAGTCAAGATGCGACAGGTGAGACAATCAAGACGTAACAGGTGAGACAATCAAGACGTGAAGGGTGAGACAATGACGACGTCACAGTCGAGACAATCAAGACGTCACAGGTGAGACAATGACGACGTGACGGGTGAGTCAAGATGCGGCCGGTGAGACAATCAAGACGTGACAGGAGAGACAATCAAGACGTGACAGGTGAGACAATCAAGGCGTGAAGGGTGAGTCAAGACGTGACAGGTGAGACAATCAAGACGTGATAGGTGAGACAATCAAGACGTGAAGGGTGAGTCAAGACGTGACAGGTGAGACAATCAAGACGTGAAGGGTGAGTCAAGACGTGACAGGTGAGACAATGACGACGTGACGGGTGAGTCAAGATGCGACAGGTGAGACAATCAAGACGTGACAAGTGAGACAATCAAGAGGTGACGGGTGAGTCAAGACGTGACAGCTGAGACAATCAAGACGTGACAGGTGAGACAATCAAGACGTGAAGGGTGAGTCAAGACGTGACAGGTGAGACAATGACGACGTGACGGGTGAGTCAAGATGCGACAGGTGAGACAATCAAGACGTGACAGGTGAGACAATCAAGACGTGAAGGGTGAGACAATGACGACGTCACAGTCGAGACAATCAAGACGTCACAGGTGAGACAATGACGACGTGACGGGTGAGTCAAGATGCGACCGGTGAGACAATCAAGACGTGACAGGAGAGACAATCAAGGCGTGAAGGGTGAGTCAAGACGTGACAGCTGAGACAATCAAGACGTGATAGGTGAGACAATCAAGACGTGAAGGGTGAGTCAAGACGTGACAGGTGAGACAATGACGACGAGACGGGTGAGTCAAGACGTGACAGGTGAGACAATGACGACGTGACGGGTGAGTCAAGATGCGACAGGTGAGACAATCAAGACGTGACAGGTGAGACAATCAAGACGTGACAGGTGAGACAATCAAGATGTGACAGGTGAGACAATGGCGACGTGACGGGTGAGTCAAGATGCGACAGGTGAGACAATCAAGACGTGACAGGAGAGACAATCAAGATGTGACAGGTGAGACAATGACGACGTGACAGGAGAGACAATCAAGACGTGACAGGTGAGACAATCAAGACGTGACAGGTGAGACAATCAAGACGTGACAGGTGAGACAATCAAGACGTGACAGGTGAGTCAGAGGGTGACAGGTGAGATAATCAAGTCGTGACTAGTGAGACCATGTGTGTAACAAGACAATCAATACATGACAGTGGCCATCCACGCATATAGCGTGACAGATGAGAAAGTCAAGACAGGACATCGTTACAGCGCCTGTCCTTCAGATCAGTACAGCGTATATTGACATTCCTGATCCTAAATGGGCTTGCTGAACTTTGAGCAAAGGCACGCAGTTTGTGTAGAGTGACACTATAGCTACAGTCAGACCGAGACAAGAGGGAGGGAGAGATTGTTGCTGAGCAGAGATAAGACCGACACCGTATTGGAGGACGGTATATCACACGGAACAAACACCCTGTCAAGATAACGGCACCTGAATGTATGTTCATCTGGTACTTGTAGCAATGCACTTTTCTATGGGAGAACGCACTTTCTTTTGAATACTACTATGAATAAGTTGTGATGCATCAACGCCTTAGTCGTCAAGAAAAACGAGTTTCGGCTTCAGATGATAATGTGGTGACAATTTGCCTCCGTCCGCATCATCAGATGATTGTTGTTGCATTGCCAGGTTAGCGGGGATGTTCGTGGGTTTTAATATAGCGTCGTGACCAACAAATAATGTTGTCTGGGGAAAAAAATATTTGTTTTTCGCTTAAACTTGAGACAAAACCCTTTCTGAAACAAGTAAAATCCCCAGATTATGTAAAT